ACATGGCTGGCCTTGCGTAGAAGAATCCACATGGACGGTGCGCCATTCTACTCGCTTTCTGTAGTGCCTCATACACGTGATAAGTCGTAAGTTTTGAGCTCGATCAATGTGTGAGGGTAGCCACCGACTGCGCAGTTCGGATGTGTTTTTTGCAGGGCGATGTGCTGCACGTGCAGGCCATGAGATCTCTAAGTGTGCCAGCGATATGAGCAACATAGAGAACATACCCATGGGGCGATTGCCAGCCATGGTCTCTTCCTTGCCTGTGGCATTTGTTTTATATCTGCCTTTCAAATTCTAGTGCCTTGGAATGACTGGAGGCAAACTGCGTGTGGAAAATGGAAGCCAAGGCATCCCTGACCCGAGGTCCTTCCACTTTCGCATGCCAGTAAAGGCAGTGCAGACTTGGGAAGTCATCGGCGGTGCAATTTCCGGTGGCCTGCTGGTGCGCACTGGCAAAGGCCTAGGCCAGGACAAAGAGTGCTCGCAAGAGGATCCCCTCATCTCAGAAGCACGAACTTGAAATGCTTCCTGTGTGAAAAAAGGCTATGGACTGTTCGCCCGAAGGTGAACCCCGAAGTTTAGGTAAGTTTAGGTAGGGCGGACGTTGAATCTGGCAAACTCTCCTGTTGATTCTGCTAATTTTCTGTGGCAGGTTCTGGCCGTGAGCCGCAGCGCTTGCGGACAGGCCTTGCGCTTGGCACTGTGTGTCAATGAGACAGAAGGTGGCGTGCAATGAAGCTTGGAGTGGCGTTGTCAGGCTCTGTTATTGAGGAGGTGGAGCTCGATGGCGACCGACTTCACTACAAGCCACTTGTTGGCGAACCTTTCTCACCAGGATTCTTGTGTGACAGCTTTGTCAAGTCCCAAGTTGCAAGGCTGTTGGAGGGTGCTGGTCCAGTGCGCGGCTGGGTCAGCACAAAACTGAACGTGCCCCAGCAGCAAAACGGTAAAATCCTCACCTCACTCAGTGCATCGAGGTGCTGGAAAGGCAGGCCGTGTTTTCCCACCGTTTTTCTGCAAGCCAATGCTTCACAACGGAGGCTTTCTGAATCTGATCTTATTTCACGCCTGAGGGTTCCGATATGTGCCGCAAGCTTATACAGATCGATTGAAATTGAAAGACAACATAGCAAACACGAATAAGCGAACAACAAGAAAGAAGGAAGCATAGATGTGGAGGAAGACACATCTTACATAAACAAGGAACTGCCCGAAGCTAAGGGTCATAGCAGCAAACAAGAGTTGAGAAAGCTGGAAGCAGACACATACAACTTAGACCGACTACAAGAGCGACCAACACACGCCCACAAAGAAGTACTTGCGGCATTTTTTTGAAGGGCGAACAGCAACATACGACATGAATACAGTAGTACTTGAGAAAGACAGAGCGATGAATACAGACATAAATCACGACTCAAAAGAAGAGTGAAGTGATGAAAGACAAAGAGGGATACAAAAGTGGGGTTGGTCGATTTTTCCTCAGCTATTCTCCTCGCTCTGTGCTCCCCTCCCTCACCTAGCTCGGGCCTCGTATTCTCACATCCCGCAGAGACTGCTGCTGTAAAAATCCTGCAGATCATCACGTATGACTGTGAGGCAGGAAAGCATGTCCCTGGCACGCTTTAGCAACCCAAAACGACCCACGCAAGCAACGTGCGCATGGGACGTAGTAGGACTGGGCGATGCGCAAGAACGAGGAGGCCCAGGAAGCCACAGACCTGGCAGAACCTAAACAAGAGCGCAAATTCGACTCAAGTTGGACACCACGCGAGGCGAAAGTCATGAATTGTACCCGAACTATAAAGCGCAAAGCAGCCCCCAACCGACAAAATCAAACACACACACACATAATCAAACAAGTTCTGGACCCTTCTCAATGAATGTCGGAGAACTTCTGGCTTTAAGGACAGGGAGCTGCTCCAGCGCTGCACTTCCACTTCTGATGGGAGAAGAGCAAGTGGAAACTCCACCAAGGAGCCGAATAAAGCCTTGCACGGGATGGGCTAAGGAATGATGCAGTATGCACATGGATGTTGTTCTCAGACAGTTCGTTTGTAGTGCTGCAGGAGCCCTTCTTCCTTCTTCTGTTCAAAGAACCTCCCCATAATTTGGAACAACTCCCATCTTGGGCTCAGGAGAAGCTGCAGACTGCGGCCAAAATGCAGGTTACGCAAATGGAGCCTCAGAGCATACCAGTGATGGCTCTGATGGCTTGAAATTGGGGCGGAAGGGTGGCGGAAGCTGCAGCTTTGCCAACTGCAGGATGAGGTATTAAGTCTGCACTTCCAAGACCGACTTAGCTGTGAGACGTAGTGTAACTTCTTGGACTTCTGGACTTCTTTGAGATGTCTGTGCATCCTTAATGCTGGCCTGTCTGGCCCAACAGGGCGTGGTCCTTGTGTGGGCGAATCCGAAGCGTTACAAAGCACAAAGTAAAGCACAATCCCCATTCAGGATGTGCTTGCAGTCGCCTTGAACGTGGCGTCGCTGGTGCAGACGGGGCCGCACTTCAAAGTGACAAAGGCAGAGTGCTGTGAATCATGTTCTGATCTCATGTTTCGGGCTGTGCATCTGACCATGGTGACTATGTGCCTTCGGCGCCATGCTCTGGTGTGCAGGTTTGTGGTGAAAGCTTGCTGGAGATTGCCCCGAGTGACAAAAGCGTGAGTCCCTTCGGTGTCATCATGCCGATTGAGATTTGGTGTTGTGTGCCAGCATCCTAGGCATGCCTGCGGTCTACTTCCCATGCCACGTCGTAATCTCATGTCGAATGTGAAAATGGCAAATCATAAACAAAGGTGTTGTAAAAGGTGTAAGTCGGCTTAGAAACTACGCATCGCTTGTGGGCTCTTGGCACACAGCACAGTAGCGGTCGGACCATGTAGCGCATGTCCCTCGCCATGCTACGAGAAGTAGGTGAGGGCATTGATATCTAGTTTGTATTCGTGTTCGTGGCAGAGGACGGATGTGAGCTGTCCCCTTCAGAGGCTGGTAGTCTGTATAAGGTGTCGAGGCCTGCTCCATATTCGCAACAATCCCTGTTTCTGAGACTGAAAAGAGTTTTCTTTTCATGCAAGGCCGCCCTGCTGCTCACCATACCCTCGCCATTCAACGCTGATTCTGCTGATTATTCTGCGCAGAGGTTTCGACGACTTCTGGCCGCCCGACTGTTCCTTGACAGCTGACCGCCGTCACTACCTGTACTGGGCAATCGTATCTTGGATAGCAACATTTTTGTCGTTTTCCAATGGAATGCTGGGCTAGGGCAAGGATACCCCAGCACACGATGCTAGGCAAACGGCATGCTTGTACCAGTTTTGACCGAGGTCTGCAGTTCGTCTTGCGACACGTGGACGTTGGCTTTGGCGCTTCTCGGCCAAACAGCGCAGAACGGAGGATCTTCACATGTTCTCCCCGTGCATCACCCAAGCTCAGCGTGCAGACAGAAACCTGTCCGGCTCTTTTCAGTCCAGTGTCAGTGAACTCCTGCTTGTTTGTCCTGCGACGTAGGCGGACGTTCCGAACCTCTGTCTCTCGCTCTCCCTCTCCCAGTCTTTCCCCGTCTACCCCTGGCTCTTTCCTTCGTTCTTGCCCTGCTCCCTCTCCCTCTCTCCCCTCGAAGCGCCACGGCTCCAATTGTTCCCTGCAGCGGGAACTGGGTTCTTAGTCAGCATTGTACCCCGAGCCATCACACAGCTACTTGCACAACGCTTCTTTTGCCTTTGCACTGCGTATGATGGTTCAGCCAGATCAAGCAATGCGATGCTAACCAGCATGCCACATCGGCCGTTATTTCGCAGCTCCTCATGCGAGTCACTGTACAAGTACTGGGCAGTAGAGTCAATGTCAGTCTGCAGTTATGTCGCCGTGAGGGCCCACAAAGTATACTCCCTGCCAGCTCCAGTCAGCCCCTCCCCGGGGAGCCGCGCAACGATTCTATTATCTATTGGTTGCTCTCTGAATGTTGTGGTTCCACTCGCTATTCACAGCCATTCGCTTTGCTTGTGCCAGAGGGACTTAGTTGTCCCAGTACTGTATGCGGTGTGAGTGCGGCCGGCACTTCTGGCAACTGATGTGTGTCCTCACCTGCAGTGCTGGCTGTCGGGGTCGGGAGTTTTGCCAGGCTGTCCGCTCAACTGTTTTAGGCCGGTGAGAGGGATCAGAGGTCCTGCCTCGTGGATTCTGTGTGGACCGGGCGAGCGAAACGTGTGCGTCTAGCAAGTGCTTGCTCTGCACGAGCGAGAATGCTTGTCCTCCAGCCTGGTTCGTCCCACCCGCACACGCATGTGGTTGACTTTCTTGATGCTTCTCAGGCATTCTGTCGTACTTCACATTAGGTTCTGGCTTTCGTTTACCAGGCGTCTTGCCATTTTCTGTGAGTTTGTGCTTTAATTCGCCTCTGCTTGGCATGAAGTATGTTCAATGGTTGCGAACGGTCTTGGCCGGATACCTGCTTGGTCAGCAAGTTCAAGAGTTGGTGTTGCTTGGCCCTACGGGGCAGAAACGTTTCGGAGTATTGATCACAGACTTCTTTTCTGCAGGCCCCAAAGGTGCGAGTTTCGAGGCTTGCAGGTGATGGGCCTGGGTCATTTCGGGTCAGTACCAAGTGTAGCTTGCACTGTTAAACAGATGCGCAGACAGTGTCGCGGCTGGGAAACAGCAAAGTACAGTAGTGAGTCATGAGACAGGGCGAAGCCTATGGCACAAGCTAATCGTCGAGAAACAGTAAACTTGTTCAGTCTTGCTTATGTGGATGTTCTGCGAAGTCAATGGTTTCTCCCTCTTCTGCCTCTCTCTCCTCTCGTTCTTTGATGCGCAAGCCCCACCTGAAATCACCCGAAGCCTCAAATCTCATGCGGCGCTCACGTCGAGGATGCACTTCAAGGAGCTGTCCGATTATGGTGTCATCATTACACACGACTCCCGAGTCTTCTCTCAAAGCAGTACTGGATTGTGAGGTATTGTGCGTTCAAGCATCATGATGTGCTGTGGAACATGTTTGGGGTAAAGCATCTTGTCCTCTCAGGTTCTAAGGTTCCAGGGGTTAGTAAGCTGCGCGGGTCTGCGCGGATGATGCTTGTTTTTGGAAACTGCTGCCCTTACCTCTGGTTCCTTCTCTCAAAAGGCCGCATGCCATTTCTGTTTTACGGATTTTGCGCGATCTAAGGACCTGTCGTCAACTTCGTGGTGCTTCACACCCCAAGCATGGACGTCGGAGACCTGCTTCCCACTTCCGTGGCGACTTGGAGGCACCAGTGTGGCTTCCAGTAAGAGCACGGTGTCCGAAGTTCCAGAGATGCGCTGAAGCCCACGTGTTGCAACTTTGCATCGAAGAAGTCCACGGTCTGGAGTCTGAGAGTCTGAAATTTCTAAGGAGCTTCTCGAGCCCATCTCTGGAGCTCGCGTCTCCATGTCCTGCACTTACAAGTTAAACTTACAAGCAGCGCCACGTGCAGCCCGAGAGAGCTGATTCACGTCACTTCGGTTCAAGAGTATCATGTGAAGTGCTCCTACCCCCATCCTCTCATGTGCCATCCGATAACAGTGCGAATTGTTGGTAGACCGGCTGACAGCTGCGCAACATGTCCGAAGCCATTGCGGCATTTGTCCCTGTGCAGACTCAGAGCTTTCCAATTCTGTTCCGACACCCTCACAAGTACGAGGTGAGATCCACATTCATGCAGTCAAAGAATGCCAATCGCCGGCGGCCGAAACTAGCGAAGTCCTTTGACTGACGCGAAAATCTGACCACAGCACGCAGATGCAAGATGCAGATACAAGCCAAAGAGAGGCCGAGGTCCGTCGCACCATACATATACATATGTATACTTTGTACTGGAGAGTTCTACGTTCACAGCCGGATGCAAGTTTCATATAAACCTGTTCATTGCTGGCAGTACACCCCACCAAGTCACTGCCCTCACCCTACAAACGAATCAATCCGTTGCACGTGACGGAAGCCCACGGCAAGCGCTTCTTGATATTTCTCTTCCACAGATGCCATGTTGAATTGTCACCTCTGAGGTGGGCACATCGCACACATGCCCTAGATTCAGATGGTCATGACACGCCATTTTTCGCAATTCTGTTGACGTGATATCTAAGTACTGTATCGTAGAGCGAGCACCTGCGCGGTTTCGCCCTTGAGGTTTAGCACTCCTGCATCCCAGCTCGCCTTGAAAACTCTTGGGCCTGAAGTTCAACAAAGACTTGGTTGGGGATCCTTGGACGAAAGTCAGAAGAAATCTGAGCGCATAGGTCGAAAAGCTCCACAGGAGTAAGTTTTGTCTGATGTGGGGAGTTTGGAACCATGGTCGCGCCGATGCAGTTTAGTTCTATGCTGTTTCTCACCTGGATCTTAGCGCCGTTATGCCCCTGCTGAATCCTTGTCAGACCTCAGTGCGTCATGCATACATTGCAACGGTCACACATGATCCGCAGCTGCCTATGTCTTGTAGCCTTTGTCACCAGCGCAGCCTCATGCAGCCTCACTTGCAGCTTTGCTCAGGGGTCTCGTCCATGTTTAATGATGAGCTTCGCAGCACCTTCGCCGAGCGATTTGGAGAAAGGAGCTTGTCGCAGACGGTACCTCATTGGCAGCTTGGCGGTGAAAGAACCACAAAGTGCCGATTGTTTAATGGGAAGTTTCTCGTTGTCAACATGCCAACCTGGCCGAACCTCTCGAAACTGCCCAGAGCTGCCAACTGCTCAGGTGGATCGCAGCGGTTGTTCAAGGTGACTATGGTCTTTACATGGCGCTTTTCCGAAGATAGCAATACTGACGTTTTTCGGAGCTTTTTCTCTCATTCTTGTGCGCCATTTTCACTGAGGTTCACATTGACTTGTGCGGACCTGCCTACGGCACCTTCTGCCGCAGTACCAGTGCTTTTGGCCGCGCTTTGTGTGCCACATTGCACTGAGTCCACAAATTCCGACATGAAGCTTCACATGACCTGAGCAACCTGCCAAGGTGCAATGAAGTCCTTGCCAAATGGCAAGGAATTGCCACTGGCCAGAAACTCAGTGGAGACTGCGGCTTTTCAACAGTGGGTGATTGCACAGCCTATGGAGTCCAGAGCAGGATTATTTCATCACGCCCTACTACGTGATGACCCCATTTCAGTCACATCAGAGTCTCAGCAGCAGAGATGCCAGGTAGTTCATCACTTCTTCACACCTTTACGATGAGTGTTGCGAGTTTCATCCCGCGCAAAGGCTCTTCTTTGTCCACCCCGAGTCCATGAACTACGCACCTGCCGATGCCAAATTCACCGCACTGCATCAGATCCGGCACCTGCGTTGCTTTTACCATGGCCACAGCAGTTGCTTGTCTTTTTGCTGGCAAGCATCTCTACGCACAAACCTCAAGCGAGCTTGGTTGTAACATCTGTGTGATTGCGACGCGTGAACTATTTTGCTGCAAACATCTGGCGGAAGATTCCTATATACGATGAACTCCTGAGTTCCTGCCTTGTGACTTGTTCTTGTGCAGCAGATTCCCAAGTTCAGCCATGCAGCACCAAGGTCAACACGTTTTTTGATAACTCGCCCCTCTCGCCTTGCGATTTCAAGACAACATGTGAAGCGGAAGGGCCAACAGGCTTGAAGTGTGCGTGCCGCCTCCCCTCTCCCCAGACATGCGCGAGAACACTCAATGCTCCTTTCGATTAGCGTTTGGGATGTTGGATCACGCATTTTGTTTGCGGGGTCTCAATCGATTGTCGCCCAATTCTGCTCACAGGCTTTGTTGGTTTGTGTGTTAGTAGCCTGGGAGCAGAAAGTCCTAAACCTTCCCTCGCGCCCGCGGCTCACTTAAAGCTTTTTCAAGCATGGCGCTCCTTTACGGGAATACCTTTTTGGCGGAACTTTCAGGGTCTGTGCAGGTGACTCAGGCTAGGTCTAGACCTCAGACCTTCCTGGACTCACTTGAGATACCTGAACCTGAGGCAACAGACTGCAGAAGTCAAGGCACAGAAGACTCTAAAACTACAACAGAAGAAGATGACTAGGTGGCTACTGCTTACACTTCCTTGCCAGTTGCCTCGGAATTGCTTCCCCATCCACGGTCTTCGGCTGGCATTCCTCGATTGTGAGACCTATAGTTGGCATAGGCCGTGATGACGTTGGTTCATGCGCAGCTTTAGGACTGGTGTCATCCAATGTGTTTGTCCCAGGCTATATAACGGCGACTCCGTTGCCAAGCTTTGTGGACGATGAGAAGCTTAACAGTTCCTGGCTGCGGCTTCGGTCACCCACCGAAGAAGGCATTGACACGGTGCATTCGTGGAAGGACCGTCTCCAGTGGATCATGCTGTCCCGTCATGTCACGTCCTTGCAGTCAGTCAGCCCGCTCTCCTAGCAACACCACTGGCCTAGAGTCTATGCAGGTTAAATTTGCACAACCTGGTGTCCTTCAGCAAAACCGAAGGGCCCTCAAAGTCCCTGCAGCTCAAAGCAGTTCTCACAGTGCTCACATTGCTCTTCATGCTTAAATTTCGTCCTGTCATGTGCGAGAGTTGTCGTTCCTGATTGGCTGTTTCAGAAGTCTGCCGGGGCCAGTGACCTGGAAGAGTGTCGGACCTGCTTATCTCGCGCATATCCGCATTCATGCCCATGGAAAAGGAGGGGCTGCAGTCGGTTGCATGCTTCTTACGGGCCGCTTGGCAACGGAGCAAGTAGGAGGCAGGACGCTTGCAGCTGCAGCTATTTCAAGTTATAGTCCCGACGTAAATCTTGGTTTGCCCATCGCGCGGGCCAAGGCCGAGATCTTCAAAGCTCTGGAACCGGGCACATGCATCGAAGTTGACTCAACATGCCTCTCGGCCGCCTTGGCCGTTAAGTTCGTCAGCTTTGCAATCCTTCCTTTCCGTTAAGTTTAACAAGTTTAACATCGTTGAACCATGTAGTTCAGCCGCAACCCTAAATCATGCTTCGCACTCGGCACTTTGCAGGCTCGACCTAAGTCTCTTGAACCGTGCGAAGTAGATCTTATGGTGTGACCCCACATGTGGCCCTCATTTCAGTGAGTTTCGTCAGCTCCAGACCTACACCATGCGAAACGCTGGCAGCTCCACGGTTTTTTTCAGTTTATCGGTGGCTGTGCGGCTCATCATCAGAAAGTACTGTGCTGTTTCAATTCTTATTCGGGGGGGGGGGGGGGGGGGGGCCTGGGCATTGCCCACGAACTGGCGAAACGTTCAGAAACCCAGGCGCATATGAATTTGTCAGTTGCATGCTCAGTAAGAGACAAGTTTTGAAGAACATGCCAGCTGCAATCACCTCTTTGCGAAGCCCGTGCAGCCCGGCCCGGCCGAAGGCAAAAGCGCTGATTGCGCAGGCAAGCTGGGGAAAGTCTTACTTGCAGCGGAGCGAAGCGCCGAAAGCGCCCCAAGCTCAGCGTTTGGAACGTCTGGACTGGTCAGCGCTACTGTTGTATATGCCTTAGCTTTTTACACCTGGCATGCGCAGATCTCAGTCTTCGCAAGTGCGCTGCACTAGCACATCTGACTTCGCCCGTGTTGATCCATCAATGCTATCCTTGCTAATCAAAACGTGGGGCAAAGGGGTGTAGCAGGGCATGTAATATGCCATGATGCACAACTCAGTTGTTCTGGCCATGGCCTGATCATAGGCAGACCTTCTGATTCAGCTCGATGGCGTGGCTGAACCTGTTCGGATTGAGTCTCTGGCGCTGAAGATCTTTCCAAGGTACGTCCAGCCACTTGTCATATGCTCTGGCTATGGGCTCATGATCGCGCACGAGTTGATTCACTGCGCTTGTGTGTCTTGTGTCTTCCAAGGTACCTGACGTTAGTCGAAATGTCGGAATTGGTGAATTTCCAGCTGGCCCTCCTCGACCCACAATTCAGGCTTGCTTGCAAGCAGCAGCTACCGCAGCTTGTCTGCAGTCATCGCCAGTCCAAGCATTCCCGTTGTTTAAGTGATCATGGATGGCAGATTGCCGAAAGAGCAGAACTAGGGAAACTCAGAGAACTAGGAGCAGTTTCTGTGTGCTGGACGGTTCCGGGACTTGCAGATCTGGATGTTCAAGGTCAAGTCTGTCACAGCACTGAGTTGCACTGTGTAGTGGCCATGAAAATGCGGAGGCCGATGCCGAGTGAGTTGATTGGCTACTTGCGCAGAGAGCATTGGTGAGTGCCACAAGTCAATAGACATTAGTGCGTCAGCTGCATGAAATTTTCATGGCTTGCAGTGATGCCCCGATGATCTTCATGTGAAAGTGATGCAGACGACAAAAGGTGTTGACATGACGTGGCACCTTGCAGCCTTTTTGCATCCTTTCGTGCACTGGACCGGTTTGCACTACAGTCCTGATCATGATCCGCTCAGTTTTGAACGACAGAACGTTTCGTTTCGGCTTGTGCGCGGCAGCAATTCCTACAATCACCAACTAAGCCTGTGCAAATACTGCTTTATCCTCTGCCACAGTACTCGCTCGGCTTGTCCAACCTGCAGCACTGGAGCTGCTGGCAAAAACAGACCATCAACCCTCAGCGGCGAACACGCACACACCATCACATCCATACATTCGCAAGCACACTCGCAGAGCACTGGAGTTGTGGAAGGTGCGCATCAAGCGAAACGATTCGCAACCAGCAATCAGACTATCCCAGACAGTTGCAGCAAAGCTTGCTTCGCATGGCGGATCCCTTGACCGGGCTGCTTCAGAAGAAGAAGCAAAATGTGGCGGCCTCGGAGTCATGATTGTCAAGTGCTGTGGGCTTATAGGGGCTTAGGGAACCCAGGGAACAAGCAAGACGTTTCAGCCATCTCAGCCGAACCGATGCATCCAAGGAGGCCCAGGCGTCGACCACCACAAAGCCTGCAAAGGGCCTCTTCGACTTCGATGTGGCGCCGCGGCCGAAGGGGCCAAGCACAGCAAAGCATTGCTACTCTGGTGCAGACTGATGCAGGAAGGTGGCTTCCTGCATCGCGACATATTGCCGAAATTCACATGGAAAGAATAGGAAATTTAGAAACAAAAATCAACCACGGATGTGACAGTCACGCCGTACGAGTCGTGCGGTCATGCTCCAAGGAGTCGACCTTGAGCCGCAAGCCAGCATTTCAATCAGGCCCGCGACCCCTTCCAACATCTTCGGAACGCGGCTGATGCGCTTGCCACACACTGCACTTTCGCACGCAGCTGCGATGCAGATGATACAACTGTCCCATGCTGTGCCTGGGAGGCGGAGAGCCTGTCGAACCCACCATCGGCGAACGGATCTTCCAGGCGGCTATGGGATGTAGTTGCATTGGCGGTGCAAGCGAAGTAACCTGAAGCATGCCATGTTGGCCACTTGTCCGATGAATCCCATTGTCAGCAGTCGCCCGTTTGCCGATGCCCTGCTTCCTTCCTGTTTCCTCCCTGTAACCTCCTATGTTATAGCCTGAATGGCATGATCGATTTGGCAGTGCGCCCCTGCTCTGCAGTGAGCAATTGCCGTTACCAGAAGCTCAGCATCCCGGTGTCGCAGGCACTGGCAGCAGGCAGCAATGTCGATTTTCCAACAGCTTCTTGGCAAATGGCTGGTTGCATCCGACTGCGGCGCTGGTGCACGTTGCTTTGCAGATCTGTGGAAAAGCCCTGACAGCTACTGCTACTGTTTTCCGTAGCTCGCGAAGCGGGGGAAAGTATTTCCCACACTCGCGCTTGCACCTATCAGGTGACGGAAATCTGTGATCGAGTGGCAAAGGAACCTCGAGAGGTGCCAATCTGCAATCCCTTGGCCCTGGTCGAAGTCTTGACGTCGCAAGATACCACAAGCTGACTCTGATCTGATTGTTGCGTTCTTGTGGTGAACGAGGTACCCGAGGCCGTGAGGCTCCTCGCTGGTGCCTTTGCCGAGAAGGGTGGCCTGCCCAGAAGGAAGCTCAAGGCCGCAACCTGCCATTCAGCATCTTTACAGCAAAACATTGTCATTATCGGCTGCAGTGCCAGTGCCTTCAGTCTTATGAAGATGGTGAACATGCGCTGGGCAGGCGCTGACTATTATGAATGAGCCTCTTGCCGCAAACTCTCATCTGTATCAGCCGGAGGGCAAGACGGTGTTAATCTCGGTGACAAAACAGCTTTCGACCGTACACATTTGCTTAGGGCTTAGGGCTTAGGGCGGTTTGCTGTGGTTCTGGCTCTGCAATCCTTGCAATCCTGAGGCTTCTGTACGACAAACGGGCAGAGGCTGAGCTGCGGCAAGTCCATGGCGTGCGCGATGCCTTATGGACACTGCAGGCCCGAAGCGGAAAGCCTTCGAAGCGCGTACTCAGAAGATTGAGTGCACCGAGTCATCCTCGAGTCATCACGAACGCATGTTTGCAAAAACATGCAAGGCGATGCAAGACGAGAGAGGATAGGGGTTTGGCACATGTCGGCATTGGGGGCACCGACTCTTAAGTGCATTCGATTGCGTTCGCGAAAAAGTCACTAGGTCCAGGTGCACTGGCCGGTTTTATGTCGAAGACCCCCCCCCCCAGAGGGGCCGACAACCCTAAGCAAAATTCTGTCTTTCGGTTGCAGAGTGACGACACTACACCAATTGCATGCAAAGGGCTGGAGCAGAAATCACAAAGGCCTAGCCACCAGACAAGTGAAAACGCCGTGCTGCATCGACCCGATTTCACAAGGAAAGGGAACCTGCCTGTTTGTCCGATGAAACAAAGGCATACTGCATATCAACAGATTGATGAGACACGAGAAATGGATTCCGAGACCTTTGCTTGCAGCCCTGAGCACGTTCCTTCTGTTCTCGTCCCTCGCAACCAACCGTGTCAGCTCCAACTTTGGGAAAGTTTCAAGGCACGCATGTTGTTCCCAACCATTCCTCGGCAATGCATAGGGCCCTTAGGGGAACTGGGCTTCAGCAACGATGCGGACCTTCTGACAAACTCCTAAACCCTGAATCCAAAACCGAAGCCCGGAACCCTGAACCGAGCCCAAATTGTGTCGCGCAGGGTGGGGGAATGAGGGAGACGAGTGCGTGCAGGGGTCTCACTATTGTGGTATAAACACACATGTATATCATGAATTCTCACCACGAAAGCAAGCCTTTATCGTCCGAGCTCTAGCGTTGTTGGTGGAAAATGGACAAGGACCGCCGTGCCTGCAAGCCTGATAGAAAAAGAAGTAGCAGAAGAAGGAGAAGAAGAAGAAGAAGAAGAAGAGGAAAAACAAGAAGAATAAGAAGAAGAAGAAGAAGACGAAGAAGAAGACGAAGACGAAGAAGCAGACGAAGATGAAGAAGCAGAGCAGCGCCCGCGAGCGCCCGCGCGCGCAGCGTGACGTGAGTCCTGGCAATGGGGCAGCGTATGACTCCCATTGCTGCTTTTTTGCACCAGGCAACCTCCAACAGTGGACTTGGCCCTGAAGCAGATGAGCAGATTCGAATGTTTGCAACGGAGGTGGGATTAAGTGACTCAGTGCATCTCAAGATCTCCCAAGCGCTGTATTCATGAGCTCTCCAGGTTGAGAAGAAATGTTTTGGAGCCACCGGTGATCCTTTCGCGGCGCCTGCATTGGTCCCCGAGGAGTTTTGTGGTCTTGAGTGGCAGTTTGAGATCTAAAACACAATGCCAACAGATCTGCTTTGAACCATGCTACAATGCTCATCGGCAACGTGCTAGCATCGATTTTGTTCAGTGATTGTTGGGACAGTCGGTAGTGGTGCCGAGGTGTCCTTTCGCACTGATGCTCACTTGCTCCTGCAGGATCCCTTCACGCTGCCTGTGGCAAGTACGGCTCCTGCTCTGGCCCCACTGGCATCACTTCCACTTTCGCGTGGCGCTAAGCTTGTTGGACGGGTCTGTAAAGTCGTGTACGCGCTGCAGCAGACCATGCGGTTGTGTTTCCTGAGGCCAGCCAAAGACGCGGGCTCCTCCATGCTAGGCAGGTCATGCTGTGAACGCATCTGCAATGTGCCTCGCATGGTTAAGAAAGCTCGATATGGGCTGTTTTGCCCATTGACCTTGCTGTCAGGTGCCTTGTGGCAGGTGGGTTCTCAATTGGGCTCGGTGGTCAAAGCTTCTTGCCTGAAGATATTCGAAGTTCGCAGCGACTTTGTAGGGAAAGGCTGGGCTGATCTGGGCTGGGCTGCTCTGCCATCTTCAGGTTCCACCGAATTTTGGTACACATGTTGCAATGCAACTTCTGATAACGGACCATGTAGGTGATCAGAGTCTGGCGCGTAGAACTAGGGCAAACGACTTGAGGTTCTGATTATCCCTTTGTCATAGACATGTATGTATATATATATATGCATGTGTATACACCAGACAAACAAAAAACAAATAAATGAATAAATACAGATATAAATAAATAGACAAAAACACACACATACATATATATATATATACTTATATTTATATTTACATATTTATATATAGATGCAAATCGAAAGAAACAACTATACAGTGATGTGCCCAGCCGCATTTGCAAAGCTACGCAAGAGGCGCAGGCGAGCGGGCCGAGAGTCGAGATTCCGAGAATAGCTGTGAGGCATGGGTGGGGTATCAGGGAGGGAGGGGGGCTTTGTAGGGGGACTTTGTGAGTCTCTTGTTGCTTCTGCATCGTTTTGGAATGTCCGCTAAGTTTTCTGCGCAAAGTGAACTTTCCCATGCTCGCTGTGGGAAGTGCAGCCTCGTCGAGGGTCACTCTCATATTCTCTGCTCTCTCTCTCTCTCTCTGCCTCCCTCTCCCTCCTTCACTCCTATAAATATAGTTATGTGATGCAGCGCTTGCCCAGAATCTTGAGGCCGGGGGTGGTGCGCCCTACACTGGATGTCAGCCCCAAAGCTGCAATGATCTCCACAATGGATGGTCACCGGTGGCATTGCCCTGTCGTTGTGCTTCTGAATCCTGTAGAACGCCTTCACGTGTTTTTAGCAGGACACGGTCTCCCGAATGACAAAGAAAGCTGCCTGTCCATCAGATGGCCTATGCCACCGAGCGACCACTGGTGCTTTGCTTTCCGCTGCTTCGTTGTCGTATGTTCAATTACTTGTTGTTTCGGGTTGTGTTCTTGCGTCTGTCGACTGGTGGCCTTGGTCAGAGCTGGGTTATGCAAGCTATGCAATTCTGTTTCCTGCTCAGGTTTGTTTGTTTGAGAGAAGACCGTCAAGATACAGCTCCTTCACTACATGTGCCACTTCCCATGACAGCAGCAAGATCAAGCATAACACGTCCTTTCTTTGAGGCTTTGAGGGTCTTCTCGCCGGGGAGAAGGCGCGGCACGCATTGGATCATGCTGCGCTGCACGCATCTGCACGTGCAGCTACCGCAGGTTCACTATGCGTTCAATCCAGCGGCCTTGTCCTCAGAAAAAGCCAGATGTTGACAACCAGTCTTTCGCCTGCGGGCGACTGTCAACATGCTCGGAACGTGTACGGGTTTTTCACCGTCATGTCATTCCGTGATCTTTCATGAAGTTGAAGAAGCAGGTAGTCAGTCTGTCAGGGCCACTGCCGGATTTGTGGGAAATGTGCATCTTTGTTTGGCAAGCCAAGGTTTTGCTCATCAACAAACCCTTTCGAGAAGTTCAGGCATCTCCTCCGGGGTTTGTCCCAGTGTTAAGTGCCGGAAGTACCGGACCCTGGAATCTGCCAATGGCTGCCAATCGTTGCAAAAACATGGGACAACTCGAGGGCTCTTTTTTTTTTTTGGGGGGGGGGGGGGGGGGGGGGGGGGCCAGGGCCGGCTCCTGATCTCCAACTACCGACTGAAGTTCCAGGTTCCCAAAGGGACCTGGAAGGACAAGTTGGCATGGTTGCTTGGAGGACATGAGATTCATTAGAGTTCCAGAGAACAGTGAATTTACCAGAGCCATAGGGTATATGGTGGGATCGTTAGATGATCTTCGTGATGTGAGCCATGTATTTCTCGCAACCGTTCGTATGTCCCGAGGATTGGTGAGAAGCAGGTTTTAGATGTCCCTCTGGGCCTCGTGGAGTCCCTGGAGCTGGAAGCTCCCACGTCGCAGGCACACGAAGCCTCGGCCATCCTTCGCTTTTTTTTTTCTGCGCTGCAGGCAGGAGCCCAGCAATGGCGCCTGGTGATTTCTACCAAGGACGGGAGCGTTTAGGGCCAGATCTGGGCCAGTTCAGTATAGTTCAGCTATTCTGGCAGACAAAGATGGAATTGCATACATGGCAGTAATGCCAATGCTCTGCATCGCTCCGAATTGCGATCTTAGGCTTCTGCCATCTGAAGTCAGAATATCTAAGTCCTCTAGTATCTCAGTGATCCACGGGGCGCTTTGAACGCTGAAAAGCATCACCGGAGACATCATGAACCTGTGGATACTGGATCACATGTATCTCAATGTGTCAGTTTCTGTGTCGATGTGCAATGGTGCGCCTCTACGCCAGGACTTCCGCAGCATCGTATTTCTGCTTCCGACCGGGAAGGTGTGCTCATGCCTCCCTGCACGCCTCGACATGTCTAGAATTGATTTCGTGTCTCCGAAGGAGCTGGGGCAGGCTGAAGAAGCCGTCATCGCCCTGTCACAGCCAGGCACAAGCACAAGCGTTTCTGAAGACGCATCATTCAGCATGGCTGCTCGTTAGGTCCCGCCTATACAGCCGCCCGATGCTTAGTTGGCAGAGCTACAGGGCGTTGGAGGGCGCTGCACCTTCAATGAACTGAGCGAAAGCGAGGCACTTTTCGCTTTTCAGCATGTTCCTTGACTGCAATTCTTAGTTCTTGCGGCAGCAGTGTGGGGTGTGGCAAGAGTTGCCAGGACAAAAGCCTTGAATTGTGCTTGAGCTGCTAGAGCTGCTAGAGCTGCTGGACATCGAGTCATGTTGTCTGTTTCAAGCGTTGTTGTGTTTAGCATAATGCAGGCCGCCTCCGTTCGGGAGCAAACTGGAAGTAGCCGAGATGACGGCTGGACATTGTTTGACCCACGTGCCTCAGCGACATTAGGTGGATGTGAAAGAGGCCGTCTCCCTCAAATGCCGTTGCAATGGCGCTTAGAAAAGGGCCGGTCACCGCTCAAGTCTTCTCATCTCACAGAATTGTGGTTCTGAAGCGACATTTGACATCAGTGCGTTCAGGACGCGAATTCGAGAGGACTCCACGGTGACCGACTACTGTCACTGTACATCTGTGTCTTAGTTCCGCAAGGCAAGCGCAATGCCATCATTCTCCTGTTAACTAGCAGCCTGGCCTACCCCAGACTGTCTTTTCCTTGTACGCTACTTTGTGACTATGAGGACATCTGTTGCACCAGGATTTTGAAGAAGAACAAGCAACCAAACGACAGAAGTACCTTTGTTCCGGCTTTGTCTGGAGATTCTCAGGGATCCAAGCATTCATTCAACAGTGTCCAAAGCAAAAGATCACAAGAAACTGGGGGAGCGAATGAGCACGGGGAAGACACTTTTCTTCCTTGAGCCTCGACAGGCGAGAACTCCCAGCTTACTGTAAGGTGTTGATCCTAGTGTCTGATGCTTAGGGCTTAGGGCCTTCACTGATTGGTTCACTTTTTAGCTTTACAACATCACTGCGAGGATGGACGTCGAAGCTTCCCCCTCCTCCGCCTCTGGCTGCCCGTGGCTGCTGAGCTGCTTGGCACTGCTTGGCCGTGTAACCTGGGTTGACAGAGGCTCAGCGGTTACTCTGTGGTTCGACAAACTCCAGCTGCATCAAGCTTGTCTGGCGTGCAGCCGAGGTAGTGTCAACAGAGCCTCTGCTGCAGGAAGTGGGTGAGCCTTGACAAAGTCTTGACGTGCCCGTGCAGAGATTTGCATATGCTAGCAGCGATTGAAAGATCATGGATCTTCTTGACTCTTTCCTTGAGGCACCTACCAGCTCTGTGAAACTTACCCAGCATTCCTGGCACTGCCGCGCTGCATCAAGGAGCGTACGCAAACATTGTACTGGCTCATTGCTTTGCGCTCGCTTTCTCTCCATATCTCCCTCTCTCCCTCTCTCCCTCTCTCCCTCCTTCTCTCTCTCTCTCTCATTATCTCTCTCTCTCTCTCTCTCTCTCTCTCTCTTCTCTTTCTCTCCCACTCTCTCACCCAATCTCTTGCTAAAGAAACTCATCTCCTCCGTGATGAAGTCAGGACCTGTTTCTCTCTGCATAGTGCTGATACCCGCATGGCAAGGAGGAGGAGTTGCGGAGCGTGGCAAGCTTTCGGAAACGAGGCTGGCAAGATGCAGATGAACTCACTAGGAGGGAGTCCGTTGACAGGTGAAGTCGTCTTCGGGTTGAGTAGTTGAGTTGAGATCTTGGAGTTTCGGTCGATGACCGTAACATGAATGCAAGAGGCCGTCTGCCCACGATGAGCTGGTGCGGCGGGCGGGCCCGCGGCTTCGCCTCGCTTTGGCGCTGCTCACAACCCACCGAAGGGCTCATGGGCACCTTTGGCCAGCCAGCTCTTCCGGGTACGGGGAATGGACACCGCTTGGGACAGCAGTTGCCCACAATATCATACATCACCCGGAAACAAAACAATGATGTGTACCTGACGAGACCCTCGTATGCATCACCAATCGTTTCCGAGGCAACAACTGCCAGTCTGACGAGAAGATGCTCGAAGCCATCCGGAACCTTGTTTTTGTTTGGAAGCAATTGTTCCGAAGAACTGCACATTGGTTGGTGAGTCCTTAGCACTGAACTTCTGTGTCGTGAAGATGTTCCTTCCCATCTTCCGGTCTTACATTGGCCGTGTCATTGCTGAGGCTTGGCGCCACTGCTGGGCGCAACCGCGAGCTGTTGGTGGTCGACCTGCGTCCCAGGCGACGAACTGCATGTTCTTGCAAGGAACAGCTGCAGCCTGGTCAGCTGCGGCGGCTTTGTTCTCCTAAGGCCAAGCAATGCATCAATGCTTGGGTTCGAGATTCTGTGCATCTGTGGTGCAGGAAGGCAGCCTATGCCAACAAGGTTGGCGGCGGCGGCTTTGAGAGCACCTTGCATTTGCTGAGATGATCTCCAGCAATGACCACGACTATGCAGTGTTCGAAGGGCCATGCCAAGTTGCATATGGCGTTGCTGCTTTGTGGGGACTGTGCGGCCGAAGATTATCCCAGACACAGCACCCATAGCCGACTTAGCCCTGATGGCGGACCGCTGTCCGTGGATGGTGGATTTGGCATGATGATGGTTTCGATGATGATGATGATGATGGTTTCGATGAAGAAGAAGAAGAAGAGGAATATGATGATGATGATGGTAGACAGTCGCCTCTCGTCGAGTCGAGACAGTCAAGGGCATGATGTTGGCCTGCCGGAAAGGATCCGCAGGCGATGTGGCTGTCCGGCAGTGGGGCAACCGAGGTTACACAGGATGTCGGCTAGTATTTGGTGGCATTGACAATGTCCACGGCGTGCGCCGCCCGCCTGGATTGCAAAACCGACTGCTTGACAATTTCAGGTTTTGCTGAACTTTTGGCAACGCCAGCTGTTTCGCGCCAGCAAGGCGACGCGTGGAAGAAAATGGGGCAAGCTGTGGCAAACCTCAGCAATGACGAGGCAGGTTTAAGCCCGAACTGTCATGTCTCAGTCGCAGTGCTGGATTCGAGACAGGAGAACATGTCGATCTTACAAGAGGAATCATATTTTCCAATAAGCATATCAGCCGCCTCAAATGCTACTTCTGCAGCGTAAACGAACTTGAGAAGGTCAGAGAACTCTAGAAGCGAATGCTGGCAAGTGACATATGGCGAATGCGGTCGCGCAGTCAAACAAGGTGGGCTCGTGGTTCCGAGATGTTGCGAAGTCTGGCTGGAGCCCTGACTGAAAGTGCACGCCTCGTTATCCAGCTTTTCAACACATTGCAAGGGTGGCGTTGTCCTGGTTCGGACATTCTCATGCCTGACGATTTTAACGAAAGGTACCGGCACTGTAGGCATGGGAGCATGATTCATCAGGACTGTTGAAACAGCATGCAGGCAGAATACTTAGGAAGGTTCGGGTCATTGGAACGCAACGGTGATGAAACACCTGGGAGAACTGCCGAGGTATGACCTGATTGGTGCCATCTTCAACTGTGCGCAGATGGTGGTCCACGAGATAGAGACTTCGCGGAAAGCACGTCTGCCCACCCTTCCCACCCTTCCCACCCTTCCCACCCTTTCCACCCTTCCCACCCTTCTCACCCTTCCCACCCTTCCCACCCGTTCCCACCCGTTCCCACCCGTTCCCACCCGTTCCCACCCGTTCCCACCGTTTCCCCACATACCCCCGCCCCCCCACCCCGCACACTCATACTTTTCGGTCCCCTCAACAACTGCTTGGTCCGACAATGCAGCTTCCAATTCCGAAGGCCTACTACCAACCCCCCCCCCCCCTTCCCCCACCCCACCAAAATCTTTAGCTCGAAGCCGAAGTATGGACAGCAAAATTAGGAGGACCATGGCGAACTCACCAAACTCAACGCAGCCGCCAAGCCGCCCAACATCTCCCAACCCCCAAAGAAGAACAACTCTGCCTGGAAAGCCCAACCGCGTGTCCTGCATGGTGAGAAACTGCCAGGAGAGTCAGCAGTGCAATGTCGTCATCCACTGCTCCGATGGCTGGGACCGCACAGCACAGGTTGCATCCGCCTCCTACCTCAAGTGGACACAATGGACGGGAGCATACTGCAGCGGTTTCACGGGCACATGAAACGTTCAGTTCTTGCTGAAGCAGTCCTCCAAGGCATTCAGTCCGAATTCAACGAATTCGAAGAGCTGAGGTTGCAATGCTGTGTATGGATCCCTACTATCGCACGCTGCATGGCCTGCTGGTTTTGATCCAGAAGGCATGGGAACCCTTGTCTTGCACACTGTGATCTCTCTGGAATGCCCTGCAGTGAGGAGTTCTGCTCTTTCGGCCACTGCTTTCGAACTCGACTGGCAAATGGAGAGAAGCCTACCAGTGAGCAAGCTGGCCGCACATTTTTGTTCTGATGGAAGTTACATCTGAAAGGTTGCTATCCATTTAGAGTTTAGAGAGCGGCAGCGATAGTTAGAATGCCCATGGCAAGCTGACAGTCTCAAGCAGCGCCTTTCTGCTCTCGGCACTTTTGCTTGGCAGCCAGTCATAAGCTAAATCTGTGCATAGCGAAATCAAGGTATAGTCCCGTCTTTCATCAATGGCTGGAATGCGCTTCTTTGCAGCATTCGGACGCTTGATGTCGAGTTTCGAATGGTTAGCCAGTGTTGTGCAACTCGTGTTGCAGCGATTGAAGACAACATCCTGAAAGTGCCATGTCGCCAAAACCTTGCAGCATGCAGGTGTACCAGCTGCTCTTGCAGTTTCCAACTGCCTTCGAGTTTACTTCAGACTTGCTGCTCTGCCTTGCGCGGGAAGCCTTGACGACGCCTGGTGCCGTTTCAGCCTTTCAGAAGACCGGTTGCTGGCCCATGATGGCCCGAACTGCAGAAGCGCGCGTTGAAGCTAATTCCAGTTGTGGTAGGCACATGTCGCCACTTATATGTTCAGAAAAGGCTGCTAGAATAGTGTGTGTGTGGTGAAAGAGACTAGTGCTCACCAGTCTTTCGCCTCTCATCTCCGCTAGCAAGGAACCGGTATGGGACCTTCCTCACGGATTCTGAAAGGGAGCGCACGGAGCAGGCTGGGTGGCTCCATTGGCTCATCATGCATGGGAAATCACAGTGCTCAGTATGATCAGTGCTTGGGTCACTGGGCTTCAGTAGAAAATTCAATGTTTAGAGTCCCTGCGGCAAAGTGAGTGCATCAGTAGTGAATTTGAGACTCCCGTCGATTGCCCGAGCGCGGGGTCGAAGTGTTACTTATTTGACAGAGGTCCAGCCTCACACTTTATCGCTGTGGACGGCAATCCTGGAGTCAGGTGGGCTGCTTCGCGTCCGCCGGGTCTTCTGATAGTTGAGTCCGGCGGAACTTTCGTCCTGGTGATGCATTAGAGGCTAATTAGACGCCGGTGGCTTGATCTACGTCACCAACTAGTCTTATCTACTTGTGCACAGGATGGTGCAGGTTGTGGGGTGTCAGATGAACAATAGCAGCTTTCATGTCGCATGGATAGGAACGCGGGCGTGTGATGCATGTGGGAACGGCTCTTTGCCCAAGAATCCAAGGCTACATAGAGGCTCTCTAACTACCCAAAATTCGTGCAACCATTGACAGACACATACCATTCATCTCTCTCACTCTCGTTCCACAGCCTCGTGTCATCTTTTCACCCGTCAGCTCCCACACCCACACCCACACCCCACACTCAGCTCTCGTTGCTTGGCAAATTGGTTTCTGTTGTTGTGCTCTCACTTCTCAAGCTCCCGCAATTCAGGACCAGCCGCAGAGTACATCAACACCAGGCCCGGTACTTTAAAGCAGCACAATGCAGCTCGCCTGGCTGCTCGTCTTTCTGCACATGTTGTGCAGAGCCCTGATAGGTACGAAGCTATGGGTGGTTCGCTTCGACCAAGCCCTACACAGGCAATGTATATAAGCCTGACTGGCATCCGACTTCCAAGTCTTGCCTTCAGCAATGCGCTCTCCTAGCAATACTGTCTTGTCTTTCTTTTTTCCCGCCGCTGATGCCGGAACTGGGTATGCCGGTATGATGCTCTCTTGTCAGGTCAACTTCCAGACCTGGGAGGCCGTATTGCTGTTGAGTTTGCTAGGTTGCCCTTTTGGGGTGTCCTTTGATCTTCTTCTCAGGACTATTGGTTTCGCCACCGTGTCCATCCGAAAGATGAGCTGGTAGCCAGGCAAAGAACTGCCATGATGTAGGGCCCAATTTACATGTTCGGCAAAAGCTGGAGCTTTCCAGTCGATGTGGTTTCGGAATGATGTGGCCACTGATTCGTCGGCAATGGACCTGCATCGCAGATGGCTGGTCTGCAGGCACAGCCTGATCTGTATTGCCCCTTGTAGCCGAACAAACCCTCTTCGATGCTTCATGCGCTTTCGGCTTACGGACTTTCTGGCTGCCTGCCTCGGTAAATGCTCAACCAGCTTTGTTTCGAGTTGGTTCCGGTGCGCAACGCACCGAATGCCAAGTAATAGTGGGCGATTGGCCAGTGCTAGAAATGGGCCGCCTTGCACTTACATGCTGAATCACTTACGGTGAGAAGTTGGCTTGCAATAAGTAGCTCAGCAGCAGCCTTCGCGCAAGGAAGTGGCAGAGAGGGTCATATTGGTTTGTGTGTAGCGAGCAGCGAAGTTCTCGCACTTGGAGAACTAACCTAGCACGAGACCTTCCCGGTGTGATCGGTATTGTAGATTCAGAAGCTTATTTCAAGGGTTGCAAATATGAAGCCTTCGAGTGTCCGAGTCTATTCCACTGTAACTGCAAACTCTCCCAGAAGAACTCTAGCCCATTGTCACTTGTAAGCTGCGGGGAAAACAAGCTAGAGCACCTGTGGCAGGACAAAAGGTTCCTGTACGTGATCATGGAGCGGGTAAAAGGTGGTGAGCTGTTTGAGGCATGGCTTTCACAATGCCTACCAGAATTGAGCTTTGCGTGCGTCATGTGACATGACATCTTTTGTGTCCGGTGGCATGCCGTGACGGGTGACCGCGATCAGGCTTTGAAATCCGAGCTTGCACTCATCACCGAGCAGGACACAGCCGGCTTGCCGTGTGGATTCAATGTGGCTCTATGTGAATGCCATGTGGATGCTCTCTCCCCTTCATACCAGAATGCCGGAGGACGTGGCGAGGATAGGCCTGCAGCTTTTCAAGGCATGGAAATGGGTGCGGTCGGTATACCTGTATGCCAAATTATGCGATCGTGTGTGCTGAAGGTGTATGACTTATATGAATGTAGAGCGAATTAGGTTACAAATTACAGAACCGATGCTAGGGAGCTCTCCCGACTCCGTATCGCAGGCCCTCGAGTATCTGCACAGCTGTCGTGTTGTCCACAGGGACATCAAGGCTGTCGGGCACGTGATGGCATTGTGCAGGGTATAAGCTGTGCTTTCCATGGGGAGCTTCCTGAAGTTCCGCGATAGCTACTGAGTGCTGCGCTCAGTTCAGCAACTGTGCATGGACAAGTTTCAGCCTAAAAGAAAACTGAGCCGCCAACCAAAGCCTGAATTGGGTACAACAGTTCCAGGTGCGTGCATACATGAGGATCTTCCAAAACAGCGAACACGTTGTAATCTGTGTGCGGAGGGCAGGACCAGGAGAAAGAGAAGAAGAACAGCAGTCCGTGATTCGATACACTTCGAGAACTCTGTAAACCAGCATTTTGCGCACATCGCGCAAACCAAATTGTCTGATCTGATGCCTGTATACAAGCGGAAGCTCCATAGCTCATGCGTTTGGAGTTTTGCTGACAAAGCTTGGAATTGCTGCTGCAGCTTTCATCATTTTTCGTGAGCAGCCAAGACTGCAGCAATTTGCGGCGGCTTGAGCATTTTCATTGTCGAAGGTGCCCAGCAATAATGTATTACTCTGATCAGCAAACACCGGGGGGTGCTGTAATTTGCCACTTGCAGCAGTTGAAGACTGTGCACGGCGGGTGAGTTGCAGCAGTTCGTGCATATCGTAAACTACCTGATGCCTCGAGATGCTTCACTTTACGGCCGTTGACGCTTCTTTGAATCCACCCAGTGCTGCAATCAACAGCATAGGAGGCGTCCAGTTGTTGCAGAGCCGGAGCCAACCTTGACCAAACACGTCCACCGAACCCACTATACCAGCTTTTTCACAGCTCCGCTTTTCCCGGGCTCCAGCCAGGCCCAGAACATCCTTTTGACAGAGCCGCCGCTGCTCCCTGGCAGAGTCGGAAACCAAGTTGCTGATGCTGACGAACGACAGGAGCATAGATCAGAGGCTTACCGTATGTGCTTTGAGGCGTTGTCCAAAGCCGTCAGCACCTTAACTGTACTGTTGTGACGCGACTGTTCCAAGAGCTTGTTGGTCTAGGGCAGTCCTATGAAGTCCTACCAGTACCACGATAATCGGAGCACGAAGCGGCTTTCTGATTTTCTGAGCCTGTGGAGTCGCTTGGTGAGTCAGGACATCAAGGTGATCGACTTCGGCCTGTCGGCTCGGTTGCCGAGGGACAGACTCCCTACGATGCAGGGCTTCCCCAACAAATGGGAGTTTCTGTTCCCCCCTTTACTTTTAAGAGGGAGCGCACACGGAAATTCCGCTGTTGGGTGCAGAGTCAAGCAGGAGTGCTGCTGGCGACCAAGTGACCGTGCTTTTGATATTGTTTGTGGGTGCAAGTCTCAGAATTCCAGAGACTCTCCAGGTCTCCTCACTGCAGATGTGTCGGAACATTCTGCTTTCGAGACATTGTCATTGTGTTGGTCACTGCTCAGGACGCCGGCCTGCTGCGCGCCTGAAATCTGGGCTACACAGGAGTCAGTCCAGCGTGAAAACCCGGGCCCCAGAGTTCTCCCGGCCAATGTAATCGATTCCTCGCCTGCGCTGGTCCTGTAGCTGAGAGTTGTTTCATGATTGCAAGTGTAGGGCGAAAGACACTACCAAAGACAGCGCGCCTCTCGCGAAAGTTACACCGACCGTTATTGTGAGTGGGTGCTGCCAGCTCCGGAAAGCCTCACTATGAAAAGGGTCGCAAAATAACAGCAAGACAGTAATTACCCTGAATTTGACAGAAAGCTTGCATCCGAGAACGGGAACAGCCAAAACCGAGTGGATTGCTTTGTCCGAAATATACCAGGGAAGTCAGAGGTTGGCAAACTCACGCTTGTGGGTTTTTTCGATGCGCATGCCCCTGAAAAAAGAAGGATGGTGCCGGAGCGTCTAAAATTAGACAGATCCTTTAGGTTATAGGTTGGGCTCATTCACTTGTGTGGTTTAGGGCTTTGGGCGTGCGGCTTGTTTCTCTCCCGTTGGGAGGAAGGCGCGGTGCCCATTTGGAAGAAGCGCTTCGGCTCCAGGCAAGGTTGTCGAGTGTTCTACGTCACGTTGCCCCGTCCTGGGCAGCTGTGGCTCCAGGTATGGTGCCAAGGTGGATGTCTATGCTGCCGGAGTCGTGCTGTACATGGCGCTTCTGGGTGCCTCCCTGAGAACCTCACTTCATTTCACTTCGCTCTGTTTCGAGTGCTTCGAGTCTTGGCGGTAAGTGCTTCGAGGTCAGCTGCCCTACCATGCAGAGAACTCATTGAAGCCAGCATCTGAGCATCTCAAACCGCCGAGCCGCCAAGAAGGGCATGCCTGAAAAAGGTTGCCTCGCCGTCGTTGGTGCTTGTGAGGTTTGTTGGCCAGAAAAATCTACCGAGTTTTTACTTGGTTTTAACTTACTAAGTAACTATGTTTTGTCGCGGCAGCTGTAAATAGCAAGCCCTCTATGTGTTCATGTCTGCTGCCAAACGACCTGGCCGATTCGGGCTCCACTCACAGTTGCTTTCGGGAGTAGCTTGGTGCTACTTGGTGGTTGTTGCTTGCTGAGGCTTGCCCGACTTGTTTGCAGCAAAGACTCGTTTCCAAGCTTCGAGTTGCGGGCTTAGCTTGCGATGTTGCAGTTGTGCCCAAGCTTGTCATTGCCGCCTTGCCATCAACTCATTCTGCTGGACCGCCATGCCTGACGTTCCCTGTCCTTCCGCCAAAGGCTTCATTATGTCCTTGATCCCGACATCGACTATCAAGCAAATTTGTTCAACGTTCGAGTCCATGCCCTGCACGCTGGCTCATGTTGCCCTTGTCTTGGGTTCAACGTATATCAACGTACTCGAAAAGCCTTGACAATCGCATCAGAGCTCTGCGTCGCGTTTGGGAAATGAGACAAACTGGAGAATCACTGAAGAGACTCCTCACAGTGTCATGAGGCCAGCACATTGACATCAAGACACAACGTTACCAGATGTTACCAGCAGCTCAGGTCGAAGGATGGTAGCCACAAGGCCATTTGCCGAACATGTGCGCATGTCCCATGTCCTGAAACAATGTGTATACGTATATATACATATATATTATACACATGTAGCAACATGTACTATGCATGTACACTGTCCTGTTGACATACAGTGTCACTGCTGAAGTAATGAAGGGTCGAATGGTCGCAGGCCCCGTAGGCTCGTCGTAGACCGCACATGTAGACTCAATGTAGACGGTTGGGGATGCGCAGCCATACCTTGGCACTTACCTTGGTGGAGGTTTCAAGCAGATGCAGGGATTTCCTTTCCAGACTGCTGGAGAAGGACGAGCTCCACGGTGAATGGTTTTGAACACTCTGCTCACAGCATACGTCAGTATCATGCTCTGATTGGTTTCTTAAGTCTTGGCTTCAGTTTCGGTGCTTTGCCAGGACCCAAACAATCGTTGTACAGCGGCGGAGGTGCAGCACCATGCACCGTACTTGCAGAGTGTGGAGTTTGAAGCGTGCGAAGATGTGTGTGGAGTCGCAGGGTTTGAGCATCCTGCAGGCTGTTCGCCATGCATGGCTCTCTGGACGCGTAAAGAGATCTCTCCCACAGCCGATCCCTTTGCAGGCACACCTGCGCAACCGCCGTTTGAGAAAGCTCTGGTTGTTTCGTTGTGAAGTGTCTTGCTGATGACCCTCCCATTTTTGCCGGCTTTGGGAGGTTCGGAGTAGCGCAGCGGCACAGGCAGAGGTCCGTGGGCCTAACAAGTTGGATCCGAGACCTGCACCTCTCGGCAGCTTGACACAAAGCCTTGCGAACGAGGCCTCCCTTGCACACTGCCTCCCCGAGTGCGAGCACCACGCCACGCCAAAGGCAGGGTCCTGGCCGTTAGTTGCGGTGCAACCTTTCTCAGCGAAAGCCTTTCCCGAACCAAACCTAGCCCACAAAGCATGTCGAAGCTGTGCCACCCTACCACATTGCAATGAGAATCAGCTCACTCTAGCCTAGCGTACAGACACTGAATGGTTTTGCTGCGCGATTTTGGACATCTGTGAGTCGCGAGGAGAAGAGCGAGCGTGCCCTTGCGCTGGCCCAGGCCTCTTTGGCTGAGTATCACATCAAAACGCCTTTCAGAAAATTGACCGCCCACAGGACCTACTCAATTGCTGCAGAGGGGCTAAAGAAGTTTCTGCGAGTTACTATCGTTGCTACCATGAAGGGGTCTAGTCAAGACATGTAGTGAGATCGCAACGGTATTAGATTCAGCTTCCTTGTGGCTGCCTCGGTCAGTATCCCTGGGCAGGCACACCGTGATTGGGTTCAGGCCTGGGTTGTTGTGTTGCACAGTTCCACCCCCAAAGGACGAACAGATGTGAACACATGTTGCCAGGGGCTGGAGCTAGCGAGTGACTCAGAGTCGGACTCTGAGTCGGACAGCTAGCCATGGCAAGCTTCGAGTGGCGAAAATTGGATGATGAGAAGAGGCTTCGAAATTGATTGGACGTTCCCCTTTCACTCCACCAGCATAGGTGCGCACAGTGTGCTCGCACGTTTTGTCAGCTTGCCCGCCTGGTGGGCAACTCCTTAACATTAGCGCCACTTGGACTTTGGGGCTGCAGTGGGGTGGCAAGATGTGGCAATAGCTGCGAGTCTGGATATGTCTGTAGGGCTGGCGTCCAGTCCAGCTAAGATGCACCCCAAGAGGCCCAACCAGTGCCTGTTCAGATAGTACGGTTTCCGGAACTCCGATAGGCATCCATGGCTTCCCGTTGTCTTTCGTGCTCAGGGCTTGAGAATCTCGGGTCCTGACGGGGACGAGCGAAATCCTGTATAATCTCGGATATCAGTTGTATTTCTGGAAATCAGCTTTGTGCAGCTTGAAAGCTTGAGCATGTCCACTCGGTATCCGCTGCCGATCATGCTGTTTCGGCTCTTGCGGTGCTGCCAAGTCATGCCATGCCGATTTAACTACGCTTCTAGTCGCGGCCTTGGGCGCAGGAGGTCAACAAGATGCTGCTAGGCATGACATTGATCTGACTCTTGAAGCTGCTTACCTGCAGAAATCCTTGCTTCGAGGTTAGCGCTTTATCTGCTCTGCAGACTTCTCCAGGCACCCGGCCATTGTTGGTGGATCTTTGTTGCGAGTACGGTGGATGCGGGGCACCTTTTCCTAGTGCAGGCGCATCGCTTGACAGCCCTGTCAGGCCTTGGAGGATTTCTGCGGCAAAGCTTTGCAGGCCCCTTGAGCCAAGCAGACGCGCTTGTTGGAAACATAGTGCAGTGCGCATCCTTGCCAGGATGTTTGCTCAATTCTCAGATTCCTTCAACAACTCCATCTCCACAGTGCTGCAGCCGGGACCTCGCACGGAGTCACGAAATCTTGCATCCAGATCTCATCCGCTCCCCATCGCGCTTGCGGGTGATGCAATAGTAGTGGCATGCATGACGTTGTCCAGCCTGCTTTGTATTCTCGAGGTATTGCAGCTATAACAGGTTTGGGCGACTTGCAATTTCTGTCCAGTGTCAAGTCAAAGTCCAGGATCACCGTTGACTTTTGATCAGCTTGTGACTCGAGTCTATGGTGAGTCAAAAGATCCAGGACCGTAGTGTGCTCAGGTCCGTCGGTGTAGAGCTTGCGATCTTCGTGGTCACCCTTTCTGTGGCTTTCATCTTCAGGCCACGAGACCAGGGGTAGTAGAGCCCTTCGGGCGGTTTGCCTGCGAACTCTTCAAGTCTTCGGCGTCTAGCAGCCTAGCAGTGCTGGGATGATGCATGGAGCGATGCAGTAAGGGGTGTTGTTGGGTCGTCCGGGACCACCCTGGCACAGACACGTCGGCAAGAAGAACATCGATGCAAAGCTCAAAGGATCCAGTGATGAGGAGACGGTGTGAATATGAGTGTGTCATTTGTACATGCTAAGTCTGGCTTCGTAGTTTGTTGTGCTGAGCACCCGTGACTTTTGGGAGATCCGCTAGGAAAGATGTCCGTCATTGATTTCATGGAAGTCGCAGACTAAGACTCTTAGTCTGAGATCCCACTGAAAATTGTTGGTTCCTTCGTGCCATTGCATTCCGCCGAGGCTGAGGTCGACAAAGAGCACCGAGCCACAGCCCCGAAACACTGTCGATAAATCGATAAATCGTGCATCATCTGCCAAGCGCAGCTTTGGAGGGCCGTCGGGCAGTTGTTCAGCGTTATGGCTGCAACACATTACTCTGTCCTGTCGTTTAGGAGCATGAACAGGCGACACAAACGTTTCGTACCTAAACTCCTATCAGATCACCTATCTCAACCTGTCGCCCCGTTGGCAAGTTCGACAAGTTGCCTGTGAGGCCTTGGACGGCCAGTGAACGAGCTGCAGACTTAAAGGTCTACAAGATTTGGATGCACCTTGTCGCCCATGTCACTCTACGTTGTTGCGCATCGCTACACCCTTGAACACTTGGCATGGCCTGAATTTCAGAACGCCTCTGCTTCATGCAAGTCGACCTTAGCCTCTGGTAAGATGTGGGAGGCCTCCAGAACACTGAACAGTAGATTTTCTTTCGAGCCAAGCCGAAGAACAAGGTGCAGAAGAAACCACCTTTCCGATCAGAGCCAGAGACCTGGAATGAATCCATGAACGCTGAAGGCACGTTGTCCAATAACAATCTTTCGCATGTTCGCTGCAGGCGACTGCATGTGAGATATGTGAGCATAGGCCAGATTACCAATCGCATCCGAGGCAATCCGTTAGCTCTGCCCGAATTTCCTCGTCGGCCTTTGCCTTATATGTGCTCAGACATGCTCATGTCGCTCGTCAACGCATGCGGCTCGCCGCTCTCTCCGAGGCCTCTTATCGACTGGATGAAATCGCTACCTGTGCCCGAGATCAGCTGGGAAGCTCAGTGGAAGGTGATTTGTTGCCGGTGTTTCCAACATGCTGCGAAATTGCATGCACCGCAGGCACTCAAGCCGAAACGTCAACCAGGCATGCCCCAGAGTCGAAAGACATGCAGAGTAGTTATTAGTTCAGGATTGCGGCTCGCCATCGAAGAGCGACATCGCTTGCAGGTGATCCAGATGTATGATGAGTTTCTTTGCAGCCTTGCCGACAAGCACATGCAAGTCCCCGAGGTGGCTCTTGGCCCGCTGGCACGTAAGCAGATCACGGACAATCAAGAAACCAAATGTGTGACAGAGCGCGTGGATGTTGCTGTATCTTTCAATGAATTTGTCCAGGCTGCCAGCGGCGCGAGACACAGCGCTGTTGAGTTCTTCTCGGCCATGGTGCGCGCCCCGGAGCACTGAGTGTTCTTCAAGAGCAGCTCCAAGTTGTCTGGCAAGACGGAAAGGGCTGCAAGCGCCCCTTGATGATTACAGTTGTTTTGAATGTAGTTCCCCTTTATTCCGACAGCATGAGGCAGCTATTTTGACCCAGCTGCTCCTTGTTCTGTGCACGAGCTTTCGTGACTTTCGTGAGACAGTATGACTCAGTATGAGGCAGCTGCTTTCGTAGCAGCATGGTCCACTGCAAGCTCTTAGGATCTGGGAGCATTAGGATGCATTATTTTCGCCAATTTGCCGCTGCCCTTTTATGGCAGAGCCGCCTTCAGGTCTACTGTGTGGTTCGTGCTGGCCGCTTCAACTTGGTAGAGCGGTTACTGGATGATATGATCACTCAGGTCCAAGTCTTAGCATTGTGATCCTTGTGATCGTGGCACGAGTGCAGACAGATATAGGGCTTTGCATGGTTAGTCCTTTCGCAACTTGAAAGTGCCAGGGGGTCGCCCGCCCGCTGCATTTCTATGAGAGCACTATGAAGCAGCTTGCGGGTCACCTGACACGTGTTGGCTCTCGCGAATGGTTGAAATCGCGCAAGGGCACGCATCAACAGCATCAGTGACAAGCCATGATGAACTGCAACAAGCGAATTTGTGTTCGGAGGAATCATGCTCCAGCTGCAGTGTTTTCGCACAAAGCAAGCCTGGTCTGCACAGCACAATGTGTGTTAATATAAGTGCGCACACTATATGTAAAGGTACGTACATGTTTATGCACAGCTCGACCTTCCATCATCAAGAATCAACAGTCACCTGCCCCTAACTACTAACTGCTGACTGCTACAGACGACTACTACTTCTTCTTCTGCAAATACGACTACTACTACGACGACGACGACTACTACTACTACTGCTTCTACTTCTACTTCTACTTCTACCTACTACTACTACTACTACTACTCCTACTACTACTCCTACTACTGCTGCTGCTGCTGCTGCGGCTACTGCTACTGCTACTACAACTACGACTACGAACGACTACGACTACGACCTCCTACTACTACTACTACTACTACTACTACTACTACTACCACTACCACTACCACTACCACTACCACTACGACTACTACTACGACTACTACGACTACTACGACTACTACGACTACTACGACTACTACTACTACTACTACTACTACTACTACTACTACTACTACTACTACTACTACTACTACTACTACTACTACTACTACTACTACTACTACTACTACTACTACTACGACTACTACGACTACTACGACTACTACGACTACTACGACTACTACTACTACTACTACTACTACTACTACTACTACTGCTACTACTACTACTACTACTACTACTACTACTACTACTACTACGACGACGACGACTCCGATTGCGACTACGACTACGACTACGACTACTACTACGACTACTACAGTAGTAGGATGCAGTTCGCAGAGAGCACTCGACATCATGATTCGAGTGGACTCGTTTTCCGACAACATTTGAGAGTCTTCTGCCAGGCGTGAAGAAGTACAAGCTGGCCTTGGCGGTCGGGACCTTCGGCGAGTGAATGTGCCGGCATGAGTCATCAAATCACGTTCGAGAGGCAACTGCAGTGGCAATCCAGTTTTGCTGTGCAGTAGCCTAGGTCTTCGATCGTCTCTCAGCGGATGGCTTGCAACCTTCTTCAGCCCTGCTTGCACGTCTTGCATGTCAGAACGTCAGAAAAGGGTCACGTGGAACGAGAATGCAGCAGGTGACCTTGAGCTGTCTCATCAACTTCGCAGTTGAGGCAGGTGTGTTCCGCGGAGCGCACAAATGTCTGGGATGATCATGCGGCAGCACCTGCCCACTTCTGGTATTGGAGGAGTTGCCTTGCGATCCTTTTGCAGGTAGGTGAGCTGAACCGGGCCATCCAATTCTTCAAAGGTTCTGAACTTGGTTACTTGGTTCGTTCTGGGTGCCAATCATTCGAGCCTGCGCCGAGTTCTTGCCACTGTGAGCACGCCGTCTATCAGGGCGTGCCCCGCCATTGTAAAGCTTCGAAGTTACTTGTAGCCTGCACAAGAAGAGCTTGTCCTATTCGAACGCTGGAAGTAGTTCGTTGCAGGTACATGACTTTGTTGCGGGTGCACAGCATGCGGCAGGCTGACCTGACCCAGACTACCTTGAGTCGCGGTTGTTTTACATGGAGCCTAGATGACAGCGTCAAGGTGTGCACACATGTGAGCAGGATTGGCCTGCAACTCTGTGGACCATTCGTGACATGAGACGTGCTGATCTCAGTTGGACCATCTCCAGTCGGGCGATCACAGCGGTGCGTAGACATCTTGCTTGCTACCACAATGTACTTTTGATTTTTGATCACAAACATGCCGAACACGCTTCCGCCATTCCTTGGAACTACTCTGCGCATACTGGTGAAGCGGGCTCGCCCAGGCCTTGTTCTGCAAAATGGTTGCGGATTAGTCTGGTCATAGGCACCAAGACCACCCAAAGCCCTAAGCCCTGTTGGCAATTGCCAGGGGTACTTTCAGGACATAAGCGGAGTCTACTTTTTGGACCTGAACAGAACTAACATAGCATCCCCGAATCCGAACCCCAAAGCCCCGAATGACAAAGAGCGATGCCACATTACAACATCTCCATAGAAGCACTAGGCTTTGGATGCTTTGGGGGAGGGGGGGGGGGTTTGCGCTTGGCCCCTTTTTGCCGACATGACATTAGAACGGCCCCTATGTGGCTTGGTTTTCCAGCCATCTCTGCAATGTTTGCAGTTCCCGCTTCTCGATGAAAGGTACCACCTGCATTGGGTTTAAGTTTACCTCCCTTGGCGGTTTGGATCGGACGTAGGGGGTGTTAAGGTGTGCTCCACGGGCAACAGGCCATTGGGAGGAGATCTTGGCCACTGAATTCTCGAAGCCTCCAGGACCATGTCCACAATGTGACAATCTGACTCCTGCTTAAGCTGCAGTTACCCTGAACCCACCTCGCTATGCCTATTCATCTCTCGATTAACCACTGCAATCGTGGGTCCCCAATGGTCCCTAATGTGTGTCGGGGGGGGGAAAAGGGATCTGTGCTGTTCCAAACTATTCTCCAGTGCATCTCCTTGCTCAAACTGGGACGGCCGAGATCCTGCCATATTTCCTTCCAGGACTTGTCAGCAGTCGACGTCGCAGTATTGCATTTTGCATGTGAGTTGCCATGCCATCGGTATGTTGCTTCGTGGCAACTTCGTCCATTGACTATTCCCAAGCTGACACCTGGCAGCTATCACCACATTCTGTCGTCCAGTGGGCTAGACTTTTTGCTATCCACGAGTTCTTATATTGAAGCAGATACACTTCAGACAAAGTTTCATTCATGCGTCCGACATTCCATTTCGTCCTTTTAATGCCAGTTAAATAGTCTTCTCTTCGTAGTTCTAGTGTTATCCTCACGGCTTCGCATAATAAATAAGTAAACTCGCGAAGCCACTCTAAATCTCTTCACTTCGTTCATGTGTGCACTGCGTTCGCTTGTTCGTTTCACTCGCGCGCCTTCTTGTTCACTCACTCACTTCGTACTATTATTACGGGCCAGTTAATAAGAATACAAAAGGCCCGTGAATAAGTGAACAAGAAAAGGGCAACATGGACGTGAATTCGCTTACTTCGTGCTCTCTTTCACTCATACACTCCGCTCATACTATTAATGCAGCATTCATGCATTCCTTATAATGCTGTATTAATATTATGACTTCGTTCTCTTCATACACCAGGTTCGCCATGACAGCCGTGTTTATCATCAGCCAAGGAAGACAGAATCAGCAACCCACGTGCCAACATGGAACATAAAGCAGTGTTCCACACACCCGAGGTCGTGGTGTGGAGGTGGACACCCTGGCCATGAATGTGGCTCTGAGCACTGGCGTTGTTGCAGACCAAATCGAGGACTGAAGTAGATCCATATCACTCTGAGCCTAACTGTTAGCCTTTAAACAGTTCGCCGGCACATGTGAGGAAGTTGAGGCCTTGTTGGCGGAGGCCTAGCTCATAGCGCAGCACTGCCCGGCATTGCCGGTCATGTGCCTAGGACACAGTCCGGCTTGAGTCAGGATAGGCTGCAGTTGTCGTTGTTCGATTTGGCAAGTGTGAGTGCTAGTTCAAGCACAGTAGTGATGTGTGCAAGACATCCATTCTGGAGAAGCCCATGCAATGTCCCAATAGCCATGTAGAAGCTGTTGACGTGCTTCTACGTGCTTCTGTCTGTCGACTCGGCGCTGCAGCCGGGGCAGCTTGACACTGCAACTTGTGCGACAGGCCCCAAGTGCCGACATCGTGTCGCCCGCAGCTTACCATGCGTCTGGGCACTTCCGTTCTCAGTTACAAGCACCTGCAGCACGCGAGGGAGTGGAGCCCCACCTGCCCCCTCCCCCCCCTCCAGAAAGCCTACAACCGCCTACTGCTCACACCCTCAATGATGCCCGAGGATCCTGAAAGGGATGCGGGCGGGGGGTTGGGTTGGCAAGCGATTTAAACTGCCTAGGCTTGGACCCGCCGAACTTCTAAGAGAACCCATCCAATCGTGTTTCAGTCCGGGCTAAAGTTCCCAAACAAGTTAGGAACTCAGTCCAAGATACCACACTGCAGGCACTACTTCGAAACTTGTCCCCTCACTCAGTCTCTGAATCCTCCATACGAGGTACAACACGCTGGCGAAAGGCTATGCACAGCGCGGCGATCTGGCAAAATCCCAGCAGGCAGACAGACGGGAACGAATGGTCACACTAAGCTGAACGTGCTGGCACACATCGCGGAAACCCTCCCGAGTGAAGACTCTCTGTCAGATTGGTTCTGCTCCCTAAACCCAAAGCCCCTTTAAAGGTGTTGGCCAAGTTGCTGGAGCGAGGACTGCGGTGTTAGACCCAGCAACAACACGTGCTTGAAGAAGTTTCTCTCCGAGAAGCATGACATCTCACGACTTGAGGCCAAATGCCATCACCTTCAACACCGTGATGGCCCCTTGTTGCATTTCTGAGAAAATGGGTGGTTTCGCTGCATGTTGTTCCGGGGATAGGGGCTTATTAGGATTTTCGAGGGGGTCAACTTATGTTTGCAAGCTGTGGGTCGGGGATGTTCGTCATTGGTCTTGTGCTAAGCGAGCCAAGCAGGCCCGCAGAGCTTAAGGTTCTGCCTTGTCTATGCAGGACGCAGCCATACGCAGTGGAGATATCGGCCAAGCGCATCCGCCTGAGTGAGCTTGTCGAAGCTGAGAGTTGACAATGGAAGCGAAGCGCCCGTTTCAATGGTTCTTCTGCAGGTGGCAACTGCTGGACAGCATGACAGGACGAGGGCTCCGAGCGGATCGGTCAGGCTCCCATGAAGCGTCTTCCTTGACCGTATATCTGCATTAGAATATACAATCAGGTATGCTTTGAGGCAGGGCGTTCAGAAGTGAAAGCTGCCAAGGTTCACCTGCTCCATCCTCATCAAGGGCTTGACAAAGCATCCGTCGGCCCGACTGCTCAGCGACCGACGGTCCTTGACATGTTGTTGTGGTTGACGGAATTCGCACACTCTTTCAGACATCTTAGTTGACTGTTTGATCTGCTTGTTTGGTTTATGGTGTTGGGCTCGGCTTTGAATGGTGGTCTTGAGACACGTATGGCTGATATCTGAAAGCAGCCATCTGGGAGCCCAGGAGGCACATGTCAAGAGATCGCTGACATTGCTACGCCAGGCCGCAAAGCTCAAACGAGCAGTCTCTGTGGTCTGTGGGAGACGTAGCGTGCCATACCGGGCCATACCACTGCGCACTGTAAACACTGGATGCAGGTGGCCCCGCTGTGTGTCTCAGCCTGAGCAACACAAAATGTTGGCAGTGCCCCTCGTCTCCGCCTGACTTTCAGGACAAGACGTTCCTGACCGGTGTGTTCCAATCGGTTATCGATGCCTGTCAGGCAGTCTCCAATCGTATTGACCAAGGGATCCTCGATGTGTGCCGCTGGTTTGATGACCTTGCAGGCTGTAGATGATGGCCAACAGTTGGCGAAGCAGGCTGTGCTAAAAGGATTGCTTCTATGCCTTGGCACACTGCCAAATATCTTCGAACAAGACATTTGGGACCTGAAGGTGTTCGCCGAAATGCGGCGCCTGGACGCCACTGACTCACGAGCAATTTGCTCTTGTCAACGTGTGGACATGGCATGTTGGGGCATTCTCGAATGCTGCTGCTTGCAGACATTGACAACATCTGCTTGCAATCTTGCTCGTCTCGGCATATCGGACTGAAGCAACACAGCTGCACAACAGATACGACATCTTCATCCTGAATTACCAGATTCCCTGTTGTCGAGTACAGTGAACACACCCACAAACCTTCATGTAAGTAACGGACTTGCATAGCAAGCCGGCCATGAGCGCTGTCCCGCTATGTCAGACATGGCGCAGCTCGTTCGGGAGATTCAGAGGATGTGCTCTAGCATCTAATAAGCACTGGGCAACAGCATGACTCAGAAACAGCCCGCAGAAGTACAACAACAGCTGTTGACTAACAATCTGGGAGTGGGCCATCTAAGACGCGAGGGCATCAGCCCACAGGCCATCTCCCGTTCTGTGTCACAGCGCTCGGACCGAAGGCCTTCCCTCAGCTCAGGAGCCGAGCAGGGTGGAAGAAAAAGAAGAAAAAACACACGGGAGAGCACAGAGTGGCTTCCCATTGTCTCATGTTTGGTTTCTACCTGTTTGCCCCTTTGCTGTGTGTCTTCGGCGTCAAAAAGAAGCTGCAGGAGTCCACACACCGAGCGGCCAGCAAGGCGACTCAAGGTGCGGCAGCTTCTGGACGTGTGACCTACAAAACCTTTCTCTCGAAAGATGTCTGAGAGCATAAAAAAAATCGGAGGGCGGTTCGTCTGGGAGGATAGTTGCGCGGGGACAGATGAATCGAAAAATGCGGGGGCTTGAAGCCTGAAGTGCTTTGAAACCCTTAAAAACCGTAGATTCGAGTTCGTGACTGATTCAGGGCGGGCCCTTTGGAGGGTTGCAAATGTGGAGCACCATATTCCTTGCAGCTTCTTGATGCGATAAATCAGAAGTCTGGCAGTGCACGTGTTGTCCGCGGCTGCTCCTGTGCTGCGGAGTAGGATGAGACATGAAGAAACCTTGCAAGGTTGACTCAGGCTGAACCTAGGGCCAGCATTCATTCTGCAGTCAAGAGATTCATGTCGATGTCTGTGGTCATGATCTGCTACAGATTGAGCGCAGCTTTCACTATCCCCTGCGCATAGCTGAGCAGGCTGCGAACCTGAGAAGCCGAGAGCGACGGAGTGGGAGGCAAAGCAGCCAGAAACAGCTTTGGATGCTTTGAAAAGTGGCACAGACCAGTAAAGAACCGGAAATGAGGTATTTCCATGTATTTCCTTAAGCAATTTTTTCTTTCGCGCCCTTCGCATACGATTTACCGTCGAAGCTGGCCTTGGCTCTTGGCTCACCGCAGGGTGCTCTCCCATGCATCCGGCGACGGCGAGGCGATCCCCGAGGAGGTCACTGCTGATCACTGCTGTCAGAGCGGCTTTCGTGCATGTGCTGCCTTGTGCTGCTGTCATTCGGCGAGGCCGTTCCTTGGCTTATTCTGTTGGTCGCCGTGGGTGTGCCCTTGAGCTTCTGGGACAGCTCGCGAGCACTCCCTGCAACCAGGCTGCTAATTACAGCACAGCTGCGCTCAAGCTTTCCAGGTGCTCCGCATCGGTCGCAGCTTGCGCATGTTGTAGGGTTGCAGAATGTTGCAGAGAAAGCTTGGATGGCTTCTTTCGACCGAGCCTTGTTTTTCACGACGTGTGCGCCAGGTTCGCAACGTTCAGGGGGTTCAGGGCTGGGAGACCATTGGGAGATGAAACTCTGGGGAATGGAGTTTCGAGTGTGAGTGCAAGGTACAATTCCTCAGCTTCTTCGGACAGCTTTTTGGCAGGACACGCTTCCAGTGAACTTCCCACTGTTCCTGCTGTAGGCCTGACATTGGACTAGTCATATGTGCAGCAAGGAGCAGATCCGCGTTTCAAGCACGTGTCGCTTCGCCAGGACGCCTCCAGGTCGGAAGTCTGGACTCCGCCAGAATGCCCCATCGGCTGGAGCTCGTGTGATGCTTTCAGAGGCTGGAAGTTGGCAGGTTTTTAGGAGCAAAGCAGCTAACCCCAAGCTCAAAACCCAAACTTCCGATCTTATGACTCCAAACCCTTTACTTTAGCCGCTAGCCCAAACGGCGGGCCATAATCATAATTTGCACCTGGCTGAAGAATTCATAGGAGGTGGGCTTCTGTGACGTCGACGGTGTATCTTTTCAGGGCCTGAATGCGGCAGAGAACGTCTGTTGAAGTCGCTTGAAGTTTGTGGAAATGCCGTATTGGGGAGCCGTTATGAAGGGGTTGAGACACGGGCCTGGGTTCCAAGGCAGGTCTGGGAGGGGCAAAAAGCAGTGGCTCGGGCTGATCTGAAACTTGGCACACCTGGGCACCGTCTCCCTGACATTCCGTGACGAGGATCGGCAGACGCGAGGTGAAGATCCGTCGGTAGTGGAGGACATGCCGACATGCCGCTTCATCATGCTTCATCTCAGCACCGCTCTTCTTCAACCATGATGCCCCTGGCAGGGCAGCTTGGAGGCACCAGCATCGTGGCAGGACGGGAAGACACCGCATCGAGTGGGATCATGACTCGTTGCGTCTCGGTGCTTTCACTCCCTGAAACACAGGCTTCATTGCTGCAGATTTAGTTCCATGAGCACGATTACGTGACGACGCAAAGTTGTGCAGCCATACCAGGGCAGCAAGCAGAGATTGGGACCTTTCAGGACTTGCTGAAGGCGATGACCCGACTGGAAGCAGCAATGTCATCGCAAGGCATGTCGCAGTCACTGCTCACATCTGCTCACTACTGCGCCGTCGCACTCTTCTTGCTCACTTCACACTGCTTCGCGAGGCGGTGACAACACTGAGTACGCACAGAGTCTGGATGAAGTAGCTCGCTTCGCTCAGCTTCTTGAGAATGATGCCAAAGAGAATTCGGCAGCCTGGAGCATCGACCTCCAGGCTCAACTTGTGCTGGCCTCTGTCTGCCCATGATTATTTTGTTTCTGATCCTACTCACAATTCCCGAGCAGCCCTCTGATCAGGGAATGATCGAGATATTTATATTGTTTATCTGATGACATGAGTGCAATGGCAACGTTCTCACACTTTCTTTGTTAGCCCACTTGCATGCCGGAAGTTACGTAACATTCATTACATGCCTGCAGACATGCGGTGACACCTGCTTCGTACGGAGCCGTGTCATGTACTAGTGGGTCAGCTACCGGTCCTCCCTGACAGCCTTTGCGCCGCCTCTCGGGCAGTCTCCGCACAGCCCCGGATGCCCCAGCACTCGACAAGTTCCCAAGCTGCAGCTTCAGCCTATCAGGTTTTGAACGATTGCCTTGGCTGAGAGTGAGCTTGAGCTAGGTGTACCCGTGTACCCTTGGCAGCCTGGCGGTAGGTTTTGTGCTCTATTTGCTTTGGCATCCAAGGACAAAGCGTTTGATCTCGACTTTGATCTCACGGTTCACCTCAAAAGACTCCGTCGACCCCGACCAGCTGTTGAAAGAGCACCTGGGCTTGGAATATTGAATTCTCGTCTTTCGTTCATTGAGAATCACGGGTCCCTTGCTTGAGCCTTGTTTGCCTATTGTTGTGATTTCTTCCTTGGCCCCTTTTGTGTACGGGCTCTTGGGCCGTCCTGATCTGAGTGGCATGTTGTGACGAATCTAAACGGCGTTCTTAGACTTTACAGTTACTTGTATCGCACAATCAGAGGTTGGAGGAAGAGGCAAAGAGCGATGCTCGCTTGCAGTCCATGCTGACGCTTGTCTTGATAAGATCTTGCTTGATCTTGCATGCTTTTGTTCTGCTGCAGACCCTAGGCCGATCAGCCAAACAAGTCGTGCTTATCGTGTGCGAGACTTTCTCTCCAAGGAAAGACGTCTTGGACCAGGATGCAGAGACCGCGGACAAGCCTCCGTGAGCGTTAGAAGGAGGTCGCCGGCTACGTGGACCGCGCAGCGGCCGTTCCGGCCGTTTACGGCAACCCAGAAGGACTAGGTCCCCTGGAGCCATTGGGTGGAGCCGCAGATTGCGGATGGCCCAGACGTGTCAAAACAAGGACGAAAATCACCATCACTCTGCCGATGGTTGCTGTGCTCGCCGTCCTACGCAAACCTTGCGACTTCTCGCGGGATTGACTGCGTGTCTATGCATGTCTTCAGTTGATCACGTGCTGTAATTGCTGCTGTGTTCGCGCAAGGCACCCTTCAGTTAGTTCAGTTCAATTTCGAACGTAGCATACTCAAGGTTGTGATACGCTGGATGGGCAAAATCATGCATGACCCGGTGCAAGACGAACATGGCACGTTCACCGACGCAATTCTCGTGCCCCTCTAATTTCAATGTTGATAACACGCATGGCCGAATGCAGGATGTGGGTCATTCGTGCACATGCCGTTGGCACCTGCTCTGGGAAACCAATATTGAGATTCGGGGTTTGGAAGGGATGGCCTGCAGTAGAAAACTGATGCAGGATTTCGTTTATCAACAGTAGTGTCAGTGTGGCGGACTCATTCTCTCTGGCACGAGGCCCTTAGGTTCTATGCAGCATTCAAGAGCCTGCTTGTAACGGTCATTGGCTCTACTTTCGTAGGTCAGGCTAGAATTGCATATGCCGAATTGGTTATACTTTCGGTTTAGGATTGATGTCTCCCAGGTCACGCCATCTTCGAGCGCACAGCGCCAGCTATTGCAGGCAGGTGTTCTGGTCTTGTTGGATAAGCTTGGCAAGTGTTGAACTCGGACTCAGACGTGTGGGCGCAGGCCTTGACAGGATCTGCTGAAAAGCCTGAAGGTGCAAAAGGGAAGCAATGATGACACGAAGAAGCTGGTGCCAAGAAATGCCAAGAAGCTAGAGCACAAAGTGAAGGTAATGTCAACTTCTGAGCCGACTTTTCTTGACATCAGCTAGGACAACACTACCAGCCAGCCCTTGTCACCTTGCCCCTCTCGCACACACATGGCTTCTCCCGTCCTGAGGAAAATGTGCACAAACAATTCGGAGCCTCGATGTGGTGTGATTTTTTGATTTGCTGTGCACACGTAGTTCGGAGCGGTGGTGTGTCCGGACTTTTTTTGAATCGGCATTCGATGATTTTTGATTTTGAATTTGTATAAACATTCTCGGTTCCAATTATAATTCTTCATTCCTTTCGTTCAGATCTTTGCTCATTCTATTTCTGAATATCTCCATAAAAGGCTAGGCCCAGCTTTGCGTCTGTCGGATGGCAATTTTGCTTGGTGGGGGGGAGAACTGATTCTTAAATATTCTAGGTTTCAATCCTATTCGAAGAGGATCATGATTTTGGATTATCGGGAATTTCACAAATTTTCTTTGATGGAGGCCCCACACAATGAAAAATAAATTGTTCAATTAATTCTTTTTTTTATGAATATGAGAAATATGATAGATTCATTTATTATTTTATATTCTTATCAATCATATATTCTTCTTGTCTTTTCTTTTAGATAATTCTTCTTAATCTTGAATTATCATTTTGAAAGGATTTCTTATATTTCTATTTCATAATATTTCTCTCATTATCTAAAATCGAAGGAACAAATATATAATGATTCCAATATAATTTTCGATACCGATCTCTTCGATAAGAAATTCATTATTTCAAAATGATTTGGATTGTTTAGACTCTCGTCTGAATAAGTATTATGCAACAAATTTGGCATCTACAGATGTCATACCATCAATTATTCTATGAAGGAAATCGGTCATTTTTTTCCGACTCTTATTAAATATAATGCTTGGAATCCATCTTCTTTCATAAGGAATCTTACTAATGGATTCTGGATATCGATATATCCCTATAAAAGGCTACGGGCTCGACCCCTATTTTCGCTCTGCGGCCGCCCTGTCGGATGCCCCGCCTCCTCTTCCGGTCCATTTGGCTGCTTGTGAGGGCCTTGCAGGGGGATCCTGAAAATTCCGGGAATTTTAACACGTTTTGTCTAAAAATCCTGGGAATTTTGGGAATCACCCGGAGCTGAAAATTCCCGGAATTTTAGGAATTGTCCGGATTGAGGTTTGGGCTTTCCTTGGGCTGTCACGGCTTGGTCCGCTTGGGCGGTTTTGGGCTGTCACGGTGTTGTCCGCTTGGTCGAAATTGGGCTGTCACGGCGTTGTCCGCTTGGTCCGCTTGGGCGATTTTGGGCTGTCATGGTGTTGTCTGCTTGGTCGGTTTTGGCCTGTCACGGTGTTGTCCGCTTGGGCGGTTTTGGGCTTTCACGGTGTTGTCCGTTTGGTCGATTTTGGGCTGTCACGGTATTGTCCGCTTGGTCCGCTTGGGCGGTTTTGGGCTGTCGCGGTGTTGTCCGCTTGGGCGGTTTTGGGTTGTCACGGTGCTGTCCGCTTGGTCGGTTTTGGGCCGTCATTGTTGTCCGTTTGTTTTGGGTTGTCACGGTGTTGTCTGTTTGGTCGGATGTTCGTTGTCACGGTGTTGTCCGCTTGGGCGTTTTGGACTGTCACGGTGTTGTCTGCTTGGTCGGTTTTGGGTTGTTATGGTGTTGTCCGCTTGGTCTGCTTTGGTGGTTTTGGGTTGTCATGGTGCTGTCTGTTTGGTCGGTTTTGGGTTGTTGTGGTCAGTTGTGGTATTGTCCGTTTGGTCCGCTTGGGTGGTTTTGGGTTGTCATGGTGTTGTCCGCTTGGTCTGTTTTGGGCTGTCACGGTGTTGTCTGCTTGGGCGGTTTTGGGCTGTCACGGTGTTGGCCGCTTGGGCGGTTTTGGGTTGTCACAATGTTGTCCGCTTCGTCGATTTTGGACTGTCATGGTGTTGTCCGCTTGGGTGGTTTTGGGTTGTCACGAAGTTGTCCGCTTGGTCGGTTTTGGGCTGTCATGGTGTTGTCCGCTTGGGCGGTTTTGGGCTCTCATGGTGTTGTCCGCTTGGTCGGTTTTGGGTTGTCATTGTGTTGTCCGCTTGGTCCGCTCGGGCGATTTTGGGTTGTCATGGTGTTGTCTGCTTGGTCGGTTTTGGGTTGTCATAGTGTTGTCCGCTTGGTCCGCTTGGGTGGTTTTGGGTTGTCACGGTATTGTCCGCTTGGTCGGTTTTGGGTTGTCATAGTGTTGTCCGTTTGGTCCGCTTGGTCCGCTTGGGTGGTTTTGGGTTGTCATGGTGTTGTCTGTTTGGTCGGTTTTGGGTTGTCATAGTGTTGTCTGTTTGGTCCGCTTGGGTTGTCACGGTGTTGTCGATTTGGGCGACTTTGGGTTGTCATGGTGTTGTCTGCTTAGTCTGTATGGGGCGATTTTGGGTTGTCATGGTATTGTCTGCTTGGTCGGTTTTGGGCCGTTATGGTGTTGTCTGTTTGTTTTGGGTTGTCACGGTGTTGTCTGTTTGGTCGGATATTCGTTGTCACGGTATTGTCTGCTTGGGTGGTTTTGGGCTGTCACGGCGTTGTCTACTTGGTCGGTTTGTGTTGTTATGGCATTGTCTGTTTGGTCCGCTTTGGTGGTTTTGGGTTGTCATGGTGTTGTCTGTTTGGTCGGTTTTGGGTTGTCATAGTGTTGTCTGTTTGGTCCGTTTGGGTTGTTACGGTGTTGTCGATTTGGGCGATTTTGGATTGTCATGGTGTTGTCTGCTTAGTCTGTATGGGGCGGTTTTGGGTTGTCATGGTATTGTCTGCTTGGTCGGTTTTGGGCCGTTATGGTGTTGTCTGTTTGTTTTGGGTTGTCACGGTGTTGTCTGTTTGGTCGGATATTCGTTGTCACGGTATTGTCTGCTTGGGTGGTTTTGGGCTGTCACGGCGTTGTCTACTTGGTCGGTTTGTGTTGTTATGGCATTGTCTGTTTGGTCCGCTTTGGTGGTTTTGGGTTGTCATGGTGTT